CTTTTGATATTTTTATAGCATATAATTATGTAAATTACACGATTTTATCGAATACACCAACTATAGAAAGTTATGTACTTAACACTATAGAAACGATGCGTTTTAATGTGACTTCTCGAATCCCAACATATCACGTCTCAGCAATACTGCTATCGCATTTTATCACAGTGAAATCATTGTATTTTAAAAGTAAGAGAATTATACATTTGGTAAATCCTCTTAACATATTTTTAATAAATGATTTTTTAATGATTAATTTCTTCTTTGTTATCAGTTTCTAGAATATTTTTTAAAACTAAGAATATATTCTTTAACTAATTCTTTTAAATTAGTATATTCTAACTTCATATGATGATCGATCTATTTGTGTTCTCGTCAAATAACCTACACATTGTCCACACACAATACGTTTCACTTGATATTTGCAATATTTTTAAAGAATTATAGATAGTGCAGTGTTTAATGTTGCTTAAAATTTGACTAATTTTGATGTATGAGAAAATAATAAAGAGAAATAAAAAAGAAAACTTTTAATAGTTTATTTAACACAGATGTTTAATAAGTAAATTTCTGAGACATATTTATGTATGATATATATTATATAATAGGAACGTACCGGGACACAAATATTTGGCCATGCCCTTTTATGACTTCTCATTCCTTTTCATGCCTTCATCTCACTATTTCTTGTGCTTTCTCGGATACGCGTGCAACTTCGGATGGTTAGGTATCTTTGTCTCCATATAAACAAGTAACTCTGGAAAATAGATGGGACACCTTCTTTCCTAATATTGTATTAAGATAGCGAATGATCGTTGAGATGCCAACACGAAGTGTCACTACACTGTGGTTACATGACATGCAAAATTAGAAATAAAATCCTATTCCAAATTATAGATTGTCTAAAGTGGACTTAATTTTCTTCCTCGAGCCCCTTTATTATCTTCTCATCATAATCTCAATTAGATTTTGAGATACTACAAACATTCTACTGTATTATCTATAACACGGTGTCTACATTATACATTAAAAGCAGCAAATTAGATAAAATGTGAGAAACAAGATTTTATACGTTTCACAAAACCATTCCATACTTAATGTTACTTGTAACTATGAATTATGTGATTATTAAAATTTCTAATATGAAATACTTGTGAAATTAAATAGCGCATATTTTTAAAATAAATGTAAGAGTAAAATTCTACTTTACTCATAATCTTATAAGTTAAAAACATATATCTTTTGGAAACTATTTTAGAAACTGTTATAAAAATAAGTAGAAAATTCTTAAGCTAAAAATATAATTTTAACAAGTATAAAAGAAGAGCATAAGCAATATTATATAAAAATATAATTTTGATATTATAGATTTGAATCTAAACATCAGATATAGACAGCAGTTAAACCCTTATGATATCTTTTTTGCACGTTCTATTGTTGACGATATCACATTATACTTCATATCGCAAGAACATCTCAAGAACACGACAAATATAACTCATGTTCTAATCCCAGGTTTCCGACACGATGCCGTTTCAAATTTGGGACTCATTTATTATAGGTATTACATTTTTCCTTTAAGAAAATTATTTTTTAAATTGAAAATGTATTTTACTGTTATTATTGTTATAAAACAATATGTTTCATATTTACATCAAAATCTCATTTTAATTTATAACAAAAGTTTTGACATTTATTTTTAAAAATTTGTTTTCTTTATTTTAATTAATATTGCACCGAAAACAAGTCCACATAAAGTATCATTTAGTAGCTTATACAATATAATATACAATATAATATACAATAAAATATAATTATATAATTATTGAGAGAGACAACTAACGTTTAAAACAATTAAACAGGAGGAGTGTAAAACGTAACATAATTCTATTATATTGAAATGCTTTTTAGAGAAACAGCAGTTATATTTCGCGAAGAAGAAGATCCGTTAATGCGTAAACCAGAAATTGCGCGTTTAATAGGACGTTCAATAGCATATCAATGCTTTAAGAATCATATCAGTCCATCTTGGTGGTCTTACATGTGGTTAATCGAGGGTATTACAACATTATTCGCATTGGATGCAATTGATGAGGTTTTTATTTAATATTATTGCCAATGACAAACAATAGCATATGTATTTAGATTAAACTAATGTAGTAAAAACATGTAAAGACTCTTTTTAAATAGTTCGGATACTATATAATTTAAAATATAATTATATTATACATTTGACAGAAACTTTACTATATAAATCACACTTTTAATTACAAAACAGTTATTTATAAAATAGTAATAATAGTGCAATGCAGTAGCATTGCGCGATACATATTTTGCTGCTAATAAATATCCCATCTAATTAATTACTGATTATATTAAAATTTTCATTCCTAGAATTTCCCAAATTTTCGTATAAAAGACTTGTTTGTCGTTCAAACTCTACAAGAATCTCTTCGTTTCGATGATAATTTTGTTATGAAACCTCTTATAACAAAAATACAACTTCCTTCTGAAATTGAATCAATTTTCTCTATATCTTATTATATGAAAGGTAAGATATTAATTACACAATCCATAAATTTTCAAACGTGAATGTCGTAAAAGTATAAATTGTAAATGTTTATCTTTATTTACATATTACATTTATATTATAAAAGTGAAAAAGAAAAAAATAATTTGAGAGAAAATAAATTTATTTTTTACAAGATTATTTATCTTTATAAATATGTGAATTGTAATAAATACTTCAAACATATAATTATATTTTATCAAAGAACTGAAAAGGATACGGGCAATAAGAGTCAAGCGCAGAAGACGTTGCGCAAATAATATATCTATGAAATGTGAAAACGTTGAGCGCGTTTTAGTGAATAAAGAAGTTTCAAAGAAGCTTCTGCGCTTGACTCCTATATCTTTTCCAGTTCTTTGATTTATAAAGAATCTTGATTAGATTGGTTTGATTTGTTATACGCATTATATTTTATAAACTGACTTTCCATAGCACCATCTATACTGCGCATGTTACAACTGATGTTCTCAAATGATATATTTCAGAAGGGTATAAAGACATATTTGAGCATAGAGTAAGTCAAAATAATGATATATCACTAACATTATTAATCATTATTTGTAAAATTTGTCAAGTCTATAGCATATCACACACACACACACACACGCGCGCGCGCACGCACATTCATGAAATTTATATATAATAATTTTATATTACTAAATACAACTTTTATTGAAATGTTTATTAATAGTAATATTATTATAAATTTTACAGCCCTTCTTTAGATGATATGACAACTATTGACGCTTTCTGGTTTGCTGTACAACATGCTTATGATTCTTCTGGAATCAGACGTGAAGGATTAAGCATAAAGCAGTTAATGAATGCTTGGACAAAACAACAGCATTATCCTGTGGTGAAGGTTACACAAAATAATTCTCGCGTGACAATATTAATTGAAAATATGAATACTAATGAGAAGAACTGGGCGATACCTTACACCATGACTACGAATGCAAATGAACGTAGTCCCGATTTTTCTGTATTAACTTTGCCTTTTGATATGCACTTTCCTGTAGTGGGAGAAGAATTATTTTTAAATCATAATGGAAGTAATTGGATTATAATTAATGTACAACAAATAGGTAAATACCGATTAAAAAATATATTGTGCTTAAATGTTTAATGTATATTATATAATGTACAGAAGCTATGCGTTTCGCGGGTTATCTCTATGTCCGTAGACCCATTATATTATTAAAATGTCAATGTTTCATGAACATTCTCCAGTTCATTTCATAAGGACGAGAATGAAGTAAAATATCCTATAATATATTCATTTTTTAAAATAATTTTTATGTAATAATTTTATATGTGGAATAATTAGAAGAATTATATTATATATTATTATACAGGGTGAGGCACCTAAAATAAAACACCGGAATATCTCGAAAAAATTAAACGCGATAAGAAAAAATGTTTCAGACAAAAGTTGTATGATTCACAGAGGACAAATAATGATGAAATCATTTTGCAAAAAAATTGATTTTTTGAGGTCACACGGAGGTCACTTCCACTTTTTCAAACGGAATGATATGATTTTTTTACACAGTATGCTTTCTCTAATTATTCTGTACACAAAAGTATTAGAGATATCAAATCTATAAGTGATACCTATCAATATATATAGATAGTGATATCAAAAAATCAATAGACGAGATATTTTATACTTTATTCCGATACTTTATACTTTATTCCATAAGTCACATATAATAGTGACATAAAATATTAAATAATTAATGAATTATTAATTTTTTTATAATCATGCCTTAATACTTTTATTAACAGAATATTGAGATAAATCAATTCAGTAATTCAAATAAATCATCAGTTAATGGAAAAAAAGCACATAGTTGCTTTAAAAAAATATAGAAAATGGATAATCTTTTAAATAAGCAACTATATATGTGCTTTCTTTCCACCAACTGGTTCATCTCATTATTCTGTTCATAAAAGTATCAAGATACAATTATTAAAAAATTAATAATTTACGAGTTATTTAACATTTTATGTGCCACAATAAAGTATAAAGTATCTCGTAAACTATTGGTTTTTTGATATCTTTATAAATGCAACGTATAGATGTAACGTATGCAGAATAATTAGATCATATTGTGTAAAAAAATCATACCATTTCGTTTAAAAAAATGGAAGTGACATCCATGTGACCTTGAGAGAAAAATTAATTTTTTGAAAAATTATTTCATCATTATTTGTCTCTCTTCAAATCATACAACTTTTGTCTGAAACAATTTTCCCTATCGTATTTAATTTTCGAGATATTTCGATGTTTTAGGTGTCCCATCCTGTATTATTGAAAAAAACATGCATGTAATTTCATTTATGAATTATAAATGGAATATTATAAATAACGATTTTGAAATCTTAAACATATAATCTTGATTGAAAACAATTCTTGATTGTACAACAGGATATTTTCGTGTCAATTACGATAAGATTACTTTGAGACAAATCTCGGAATACTTAATGTCGGATGATGTAAATAAAATACATATCCTCAATCGTGCTCAAATTATCGATGACGCATTTTATTTTTTTATGAAAAAGGAAACTGATTTGAATGTATTCTTGGCTCTCACGAAATATCTACAGCAAGAGACAGATTTTATAGCATGGTATCCTATGTTTAAAGGTCTTGAATACATGTCGACCTTTTTCCATTATCAAAGCAGTTCATATATCAAGGTAGATAATAATAAATTTTGTCAATAAAATATGTAAAATATTAGATTTAATTAATTTTATATGTAATTAATTTTATATCAATTATTTCTCGATATTTTTAACAAATTAATATATATATATATATTGAAAAACTTGTTTACTTTTTTCATTTTAAAAATCTAATTAATTTAAAAATAGAATATTAAAAGCATATTATAAATTAATTTTAATTATTTAATTTTGAATAGAGCAATGTTTTTCTATTTCCTAACTTTTATTATTTCCTTTTAAATATATTTATTAACTAAACATTTTATAAGATTCAAAATAAAATTTGAAATAAAATTATATTTTTTAGTAAGAAGTCTTGTAATAATCAGTTAGCCAACATGTATTTTTTCGAATTACTTTATACAGATTTTAAATTCTTTTCTGATGCAACGATTTAATATCAAAACAGTAAATATCAAATTTAATTGGTTACGTTCTGTATAATTAAATTGATTAATGTTTAAATATAAATGTATAATACTGTAGTATATATGTTTTAAAACATACAATAATTTTAGATAATTTTTAATTTATAAAGATAACAAAAAATTAATACACATTTATTCAAACACAAACACATACATATACACACGCATAATTTTTTTCTTTATCAACACAATAAAGAACGTAAATATTATATCACTTAATTCTTATAGAGTAATATGCTGAGTATAGTAAATACAATTTTTGTTAAAACAATAAAACATAATTCGGACAATTTGTTCGATATTAGTTTAAAAGAAGAGATTTCAAGATGGGCATGTATTCTTGGTTCTTCCGAATGCAAGAAGGAAGCTTACTCTAAATTACAGATACATTTACAAAATCAAACGTAATATAAATAATTATTTGTATTATTTTTAATTTTTAATAGTAAAAATAATTTTCGTATTTATGCAATGCTTAATGAATTATTTGATCAAGTTTGTTGAAATACTACAAACAAAATTTACATAATTAATTTTTACATTCTCTTGCTAATATTCTAGTGTTTTGTCTCGGTGGAAGGAATGGACATACTGTAATGGTTTAATGATAGCAGATAATAATACTTGGTATTCAGTATTTGATAATACAAATACTGAAAAATATGATTTACCTAATTATATGTATCTTAAATTGATGGCTTGTTCCGAAGATTTCTTTATTATTCGTAATTATATAGAGCTCATAAGATCAGCAGAGTTTTATAATGAAACACAAAAAGATTACGGCCAAGTTTACATTTTTCATTTTGTCGTTGAGAGACATGCAAAGAATGATACTATGCTTGATTATATATTAGCAAATTTGGATGAAATAAAACCCAGGTATTTTTATTTGAAGATATATCGTTTAAATTCGTAGAAAAATTAATTATATACTAATAATAAAACTCTTTTATTTACATAGAAAAATGACTACCACTGAAGCGTTAATAGACATTATTAATCACGTGTATACCAAGGAGCAACTGAATAAAGTAAATTACTCATTGGTCGACGGTCGATGGCCTTTTATTGCTCTCACGTCATTGACATTCGTTCATCTGGATGCAAATCCGCCGAGATACTTCGCCGGATCGCTACTCTCCCGACCATCGTCACACGCAGGCACATTCAACACGCACTCATAAAAAAAACTAGTGTTTAAATAAATTATCATTACATTCATCGGAATTTTTATTTATCTTTCAAGTAAATATTCTAATAAATTAATTACATATATTTAACGGAAATAATTTAAAGTATATATATATTATCCCGGTAAAAAATTTTTCATACATGAATATGTATAAATATAAATATTCATAAACATGTATAATCATATACATGAAATATGTCCATATATGTTTATACATCCTTTTTTTTGTGAAATTACTTTTTAGTGTAATAGAAATAATAATAGTAATGTATAGAAATAATAATAGAAAAATAATTAAAGGAATAATTTTCGCATTGTTTTAGAAAAAAACAAGTTTAGAAAAATGTAAAAAAATTGCTCATACGTAATTATGCATAATTTTATATATAATTATATATAAATAATATTTTTACATTTCTTCAAACTTGATATTTTTTTAACAAGCGAAAATTATTAATTATTTTTAATGTTTTCACATTACTATTATTATTTTTATTACACTGAAAAATAATTTTATAAAAGAAAAAAGAATGAACATGTATGAATATATTAGAATAATTATACATGTTTATAAATATTTATGCGTGTTTATGTATGTTTATGCATATTTATACATATTCATGCATAACAAATTTTTTACCTTTTAATTACATAAATACGTTATACACGCGCCGTTGGATCTGAGTTGGATGCATATGTATTGTCCTGTTCTAATTATAACTGATAATTATAAAGGGATAATGTTGTATAAAATTTTTATTGCTTAATATTAAATTATTATATTTATTAATGCTGACTATGTATATATATTTTTAATTAATTTAACAATTGATTTTAGGTACAGGCATGCACAATACCTGAATTACAAGATCTAATAATTCTTGTGAAAGTTTCATTACTTAAACACAAAATAGAATCACGCGTACTTGAAATAACTCAACAAGAAGAATATTTGTCGCGGTATATTTAATTCATTATTAATAAATTTATGTAATGTTTAATCAATGTATATATATATATGTCTTTGTTTATAAATAATAATCTCTTTGAATTATGTACGTACATATTGTTATTTATAATAAATAAAGTATATTCAAGAGATTTATTGATTTTATTTATATTTTTGTTTTAAATTGATCTAAATAATAATTTTTTGAATCCTGGTACAAAATTTTTCATGTTGCATAAATAAACATTGTAATTATGTGTGTAAACATTTATAATTATATATGAAATACCCAGCAAACGAGAATGGATTAAAATGGATTGTAATTTTTTTCTATTCGAATGCGTATTTTAAATAGCGAATACTTTTTTTGGATTTAATTGGATTCAATTAGATTCAATTGGATGCAATTGGATTGAAAAACTGCATTTGCTATTCAAAATTTTGCATTGAACAGTATTCACAATGTGTGTGTTTTGTGTGTGTGTGTGTGTGTGTGTGTGTGTGTGTTTTGTGTGGATGCACAGAAAAAGCTAATATTATTTTTAGATTGAAAGATATAGAGATATGCTCCATGCAATTCCTATAAATGAATAAAAATGCTTTCAGGATTGAAAAGCATTTATTTTAACATTCGTGAATCAATATTTCTGAAAATTTGAATCTATTTCAATTCATTTCAATCCATTTTCGTTTGCTAGATATACAGCAATTTCTTTCATTTGTAAAATTATTTTTTAATATATTAAAAATGATAATAATAATAATGAGAAAACAAAAAATAATTAAAGGAATAATTGTCGCATTATTTATTTTCGAAAAATCAAGTTTGGAGAAATATAAAAAAATTACTCATACATAATTATATTATGTATAATTTTTATATGAGCAATTTTTTTACATTTCTCTAAACTTATGACTACTAGATCGTAATATACGATAATAATTATTACGATCGTAATTATATATTATCTAGTAGTAGTCAACTTCAAAAATCATTCAAGAAGCCGTGGATGTGTTATCCACTGGGAAAGTTTAAATGTTTACTATGTAATTCGAAGTACACATGTCATAAGTATAGAGGAGCCAATGTCACTTGGATTGCTGGAGTTTTAGGTTAACTAGTGAGCGGCAAACGCAGTAAGACGGTAAGACCGGTCGAGTGCGCGGTGCGTCCAAAGTGCCATTGACCAGCTGTGAACAGTCTGACGATCCTTCCGTCAAAGACACCGCGCACCGACGAAGAAACGAAAGGTCGACTAATTAAATTACGATAAGCGATCATGGCAACGCCCACCTGTGATAAGAAAGCGAGAGTGATCGTTTTAGGAGGTGAGGTATCTTGCTATATAGCGATAAGACGGTGACGGCTGAGACCTTTATCCGTTTGCGGTTACAGGGTGCGGTTTCATCGGCCGCAATCTCGTAGAGTATCTACTGGATAATGATCTGGTATCTTACTTGCGAGTTGTGGACAAAGTACCACCGCAGACTGCGTGGCTCAATGCGGAGCACCAGCGGGTGTTCGAACATCCTTTGCTTGAATTTAAGAGCGCTAACTTGATTAACATAGGTAATTATAATCAGGATATATCAGAGAACAGGAGTTCTATTGAATAAATCGATTTATATCTATATAATTGAAAGAAGAATTTTTCAAGTTTTACTACTTGATAAAAAAGTAGTTAATATTCTCTTTCTCTTTCTTATTTATTATTGTATTTATTCTCTGTATGATAAGAGTAATAATTAATTCATCACGTGTCGCAGTCTATCATAAAGTATAAAAAATATGATATAAATGATAATCTGTAAAAGGATCATTTTTATCCTATCAAAGTGTCCTGCCAAAACGCGTTTTCCTGTGACGAGCCTATCGATTATGTGTTCAATTGTGCTGGAGAGACAAAGAGTGGTCTCACAGATCCGGTATATAAAGAAGGTATTTACAAATTGAGTCTGAACTGCGCCCAGCAAGCTGCAAAGATTAGAGCTTTGCATTATGTGGAGATATCTTCCGGCAACCTTAATGCTTCAGAAAAGGTATCTCTCTTAATGCCATATACTTTAACGCGAATATGGATTCAGGATTAATCATTGTGCAATGTCATGTAGACTCCTCACAAGGAAGATGATGCCGAAGAACCATGGACATTTGTTGCAAAATACAAGTTACAAGTAGAACACGAATTAAAGAATATACCAGATTTGAAATATACCATTCTCAGACCGGCTATTGTATATGGTTGCGGTGACAGAAATGGCTTAGGTAATTCTAACTTCTCTCGCAGTATATTTTGTTGAAAACTGCATTGTTTGATTTAAAAAAAAAAAAAAAGAGAGAATATATATCTTGGTAACTTGCAGCACCAAGACTAGTAGTGGGTGCAGTTTATAAGCATTTAGGAGAGATGATGAAATTGCTCTGGGGACCGCATCTTCATATGAATACGGTTCATGTGAGGGATGTTGCCAGAGCTATGTGGCACGTAGCTAACAGACCAGAAACAATAGGCCAGACGTATAATCTCGTGGATGAGGGAGATTCTACTCAGGGTTCTATCAGTGCCATAGTCTCGGAACTATTTAATATCAATCATGATTACTGGGGCACTGCGCTATCTACACTGGCTAAAGTATGCAGGCCTTTATATTAAGTATTTTATGTGTGTATATATATATGTGTGTGTGTGTGTGTGTGTGTGTGTGTGTGTGTGTGTGTATTTCATATACATATATATATATATATATATATATATATAGAGTTTGCTTTTATCTTATATTTTGTAGACTGATATGAGCTCTGTTGTCGAGGAGGTAAATGACAAACACATGGCCCCTTGGGCAGAAGCATGTCGCAAAGATGGAGTGGAGAACAGTCCTCTGTCCCCATATATAGATCAAGAACTTCTATATAATAAGCACTTGTATTTACAATCCGGAAAGTTATGGAACACCACGGGATTCACGTACCTGTACCCTAAATTAACGAAAGATGCTCTTACAGAGGTAAATTACGTTTGTTTCATAAGTTAGTCTCGAAGAAAAATGTATGTAAAGATGAATGTTCATAAAATTGCTTTTTCCATTTACAGGTACTTAATGATTATGTAAGCATGAGGATTTTTCCATATTCTTTGGTTCTGTGAACTTAGCAATACCGACTGCCGAATTCGAATATCGATTCTCTTTTACACGAAGATACAAATCGGATACGGTACGACGCCGAGCGCCGTTTTCACCTTGTGCCTAGAAGGGTTCTATATTAGTTATATATATTCTATTATACACGTTATATACATCTTTACTTGACGTTTTACACGCCAGTAAATATTGCTGAATGAGATTTTAGAAAAATGCATATATATGAAATTTGGATATTTCGTAGACGGCCTATTGCCAATGTGATAAAGTAGCAATTAACGTACTTAATTTTAACATAGTTCTGCAAGTACAGAACATTTTCGCACCTTAAAAATGACTAGTCAAACAGTGACGTTTAAGAATGATTCAGAACAAATTCTTATACACGAAGATAAATATGTGTATAAGAATACTTAAACTTTAAGACGTGGTCTATGAATCAATTTCGATGAATGTTTTAGAAGATCATTGGTCAAAAAGAATGCTTTTTATACACCATTTTTTCAAGACTGTGGACTGCGTACCAATAAAGTTGTTGAAAACCTATATATACACACACATACACATTACTAGATGCATAACAAGAGTTTTTTTTAATATTTGCTACATTCCAAGATGTATATCTTCCACACAAAGCTGTGAATCAAGTCTTTCTATTGAATAACTGTTACACACATAATTTTATTATCGACAATTTTTGAGTATGTGCGACCTAAAGAATTGTATTAAATTAAGTACAAACACCGTTAGATGTGCGTTCAGAAGATATTCATACAAAAGATATTCCTACAGAAGATATTCCTTATTGATATATGAATGATAAATTCATATTGGTAGATTTATATATGAACTGTGCGCGCGTTTACACATATATAAAACATTTAATATAAAATAAAAAAAAAATTATATTCTATTTGGCCTTAAATGCCTCATATAATAAAGATATTAGTAAGTATATTACACTGTCGATATTTTGTTGTTACGCCAATATTGCTACAAGTTCTTTGATAATAAAGTTGCTCCATTTACGAAATCGTATTGACTCATTGTACCCTGTATCGAATATTCTTCGTGCTACAGAAGGAATATACTTTTTTTACACTAAATGTGCATTTGTACATTGTCTTAATTTTATTGAATCAGTGGTTACAACAAGACGACATGTTCAAGAAGGATCAACAGTATTATTAAATATTTAGTGTATTTAGTCTTAATACTTCAAACAATAAGATTATAATTTCATATAGTTCATTATACGTAATATATTAAAATATATATTTTAATGTTCTTCGCAGATAATATAATATGTATATATACAATCGCAGGTAAAAGTATGTACAAAGTAACTGCACCCTAAAGGATAATTGTCGCACACATCGAGATAATAGATCTAAATCGGAAAGAAGGGCGAAATGAGGGCTTGCGGAAAATAAATTAATAGTCTTCTTAATATATAATTAATATATAATTATAATTAACGATAATAATATAAATGAATAAAATTACTGGATTCTCTTCTTCTGTATATATTAGATGTAAAATAAAGTGTAATGTCTTGGCTATTTATATATACATATACCGTGTGTGCTGTTACACACGCAATATATATGTATACATAATAATGTGTGTGTGTGTGTGTGTGTGTGTGTGTGTGTAATATATTGTATACACGCACATGCGTATATATCCACCGGGCGTGAAAATATAATCTTTGAGGTAAACTGCATTTAAAAAAAATTGTAAACAATAGTCTAAATAGGTACCGAAGTTAAGTTAAAATTAAGTAATGTAAATCACTCTGTACAGAGTGATAATTACGGAGGTATATTCGTTCGACTAGAGCCGCCGTACAATACAATCAATACTTGCTACTATATATTTAACACTACAGTCTGTTAAATTATATCGAACTCCGTATGAAAGGAATGTGTATGTTTATGTTTGTGTATATATTATCATATATGGAGTGACCAAGTAGTCTTGCACAGATTTCATATAAGTCCCGATTTAAAAGACAATAAAACATTCTTCTCTTTGGCTGCCGCATTATAGGTATTTCTAAATTAAGATTATAAGATAGTGAAAATAATGCGCAAGAGTTAACTGTTAAGAGATTCATGATGACACGATGATATCGTGTTTCTAGTTTGTTCGGTAAATTATGATAATTAATGATCAATGAATGCGCGCAATATTTGTTACGGTGATAGATAGATTATGATCTATAATATGATATCATTTATTTCCAAAGTTCGCGTTTGCGGTAATGCGAAGGACGCGCTAGACGCGAGACGATGCTTATTGCTTTTGTATGTACTATAAGGTAATGTTATCTTCGTGGATTTTGTACATACAGAATGCTTCACGTAAAATCCTGCAGGCTGTCCTCCTTGCAAAAGAAGAATTGTCTGCAGTCGCTTCGCGTAAAACACTTTGACTTCCTCTCCTGAACGGCGACTCTATAGTCATTTGTTCACGACATAAAACTTATCACATCCACGAAATTGTTTCAAGAGCACTATGGTATGCGTGTACGGAGTGTTTTGTCGTTTCAATTAAATTACTGATTGCTGTTGGCGATTCATTCGTCGCTGCGGCTACCTCTTTCTCTTTTTGTAATACGATACTCAATTACTGATAGTGCGGATATGGAGTCGGGAATACAGCAGCAAAATTGTACATGTAACTGGAGCAACATATGTTACAGCTAAGGGAAGTATAGTACATTATGCTACTTAAGTGTAAGAAATGAAATGAGGATAATTTTGATAAGCGTAAACTCATTCTCTCAAGAAATTCGTACAACTGGCAGTTATATGTATCCAAAAGCTTGTGTCTACGAAAGGTTGCTGAAATGCCAACAAGTATTTTTATTCTGAATAAGATTTATTACATATTAAAACATCAGAAGAACAATTAATAATCGATAATTAATCATTTAAATGCTCAGAAAAAGTACACACTATATTTGAAAGTTTGAACTTAATTGGCTAATTTTGCTTTTTAATCTTGATAAATTAAAGAAATATTAATTATATATTATCTGGATTTATTCGTGAAGAATTTATTATGTGTGAAGATTTTTATCTGAAAACTCAAAATCAATTTTAATCGTGGACACAAGCCCATGTAAGAAAGTAAAATAACTCGAAAAGCATTGCATACTTTCTACTGCTTATACATCACTTAGCGCAATGTTCTTTCAAACTTAATTATCATTTTGAATTCATTTTTTATATAATTAACAATCTCTCTCTCTCTCTCTCTCAAAATTATTCTTCCAAGTGCTTTTATTGTATGCTGCATATGTATGTGTATACACACATATGTACATACACAACACACACATTTTTAAAGCGCAGGGGTGTATAACGTGAAAGTGTATCTTTCTGGTGCATAATATTAACAATACGTAATGATCAACTAAAGGAACAATCGGTTTAATGTTTTGCTCTTTCTCATTATTATACGGCAGCTTAGCTATCAACGCTATAGAAGTGATTTTCTAAAGTATACTATCAACAAATACAAAAGTACATGAAAAAGCATATGAATATACCCTCAACAAATATGAAAATAATATAAAATGTAACAGGCATTACACATTATATATAACAAATGCAAAACAGATTAGTTAAATAAAATCGCAAGCATTGAATGCATGCAAACGCATTCGCAACAAGGGTTGCTGCACAAAAAAAAGAAAAAGAAAGAAAAGAACTGTTTAAGAATATATAAATTCAATATTGTATATGCGATTCTATATATATGAGATTCTCATAATTATATTTATAATACATATAACAAGTTCCATGTATTCATGTGTAAATAAAACGATTCTTTCTATTTCAACTGTATCTGATCTGTGTGAACTATATAGAGCTATTGTAATGCGATTTGCAAAGTTCAATAAACGGAATAAGTAAATCATGATGCACAGTTAGTTAACTAAATATCTCCATATTACGCAAAGTATCGACAATATAACAGTATGTTCTCATCCCTTGAATAAAACGAAACAGAACAGTAATAATATATTAGACTTCTAACAGACTTTGTTATGGAAATGTGGTAATATTCTATGGAATGAAGATATGATAGTCTTTTTAATATATGTAGATCGAATTAATTCTAGCGTTAATTGTTTTCATACTGTGCTCATGGTGACTATATTATTGCATGATCCAGTGTAATGTGTTCACCTAAAGTATATGCTGAATGTAAAATGCAATAAATAACAATTAATGGAGGTACAGTAATAACATTGACATTTCTACGTCTCACTCTAAACGATATAGCTTATTCTATCAGGTACTGTGTTGGGTTTTTCTGTCATGGTAACATGCACCAGTCTGGAATATGTGTCTTGTAGATTCGTCTTGAATGCTGCTTCTTTCTTTTTGTGTAATACACAGAACTGCTTTACCAGTTAACACGCTAAATACCGTACATACAAAACGTTGACATTAATTGTATCGATTACCTAATCGCCTTAAAAACGATATCAATCTTATGAACGGAAAGAAATCCGAGGAATACGTAAAATTCTTCTTTCGTAACATATTACTCAAAGTCTTTTCACATAAACATTCTCCAACGAGGTTATCTGTTAATTATAAAAATATCGTCTATTAATACAGTCTTTACAGTCTCTTATAGAAGTAAACAATTGTGAGAAAACAAGGTGGCCTGTTATTCGCTATTCGTTTGAATCGCAATATTCTGAGTACGATTATCTTTCTGAATATTCCTTCCCATTCATAGGATCTCTTTTTAAATTTAAAGTATGATATATTAATAGTTCACTTTAAACTAATACAAAACTTACATCAAATATTTTAAGAGCTATTCAACAAATCTTTCATTTGTCATGCACACTAGCTCCAAATGCAAAAAAAAGATTTTTACTGTGATTCCTTGAAGAAATCAATATTTTTGTAAAAGTGATACCTTAATGACACACATACGGTACATTAAAATATAAAGAGCAAAATAGAAAAAAAGAGGAAAAAAAGAAAAAAACACGAAATAAAAAATTTTCTTAATATTTCTAAAAACGCGTAGCATCTGGTTAGAGCCTTTCCCTGTTTTCTTAATACTAAACGTTTTTCCTTTGTTCAATTAAATATCAATGGAAAACTTATTTTGGAATGATCAGTGTCTCTGTTCCATTTTAAGCAATCATCAGTCCGAAAACTGTTGTCAGAATGAAACTTTATCAACTTTTAGGCCATACTATGCCCGAATATTTAGCAATTTTGTGTTCCTAAACGCGAAGGAATGCACGTCCACATGTCTTTTTGCTATCGGTATTCGAAATGTAATATTTTATGAACATATTCACAATCAATAATTATTCTATTCTATGTACACAGAGGCATCAGAAACTTGCTGTTTTTTATTTCAGTTCATTTTGTTCGCGCATCTCTCAATTTTTGATACGTTGATAGTTCACTTAATTTGTATATGTACAGAATTATTCGATATTCGTTTAAAGATTAATGAAAAGTGATAAATTAAACACTTTTAAAACAGCCTATATACAAAAATATTGCATTTCGCTAAATGATCTCAATTGGAAACTGAATACCGAAATAATTTTGCCAGCAGTATTCGCTAATATACCAATATATTAATATCAAAAATTTTTAACTATATTTATATAATAATTCTCTTCAATTCTTTTCAAAAATATTTAATTTTTATTTTCGAACAATATTTCAAATTATTCTGTACATACACAAGTCCGGCAAATATTTCAAGTATCGTCTGCGCGATTACTGCATTGCAATGTTACAAGTGCATTATGCAAAGAATGCAATAAATTTTAGAATTGAGTTGCTTTCACTGAGACGCTTATGCAGACGAGCTTTGTTCTCTGCGCGATAAATGTTTCTTGCTCATATTTACAATGTGACGATTAACGCCACAATTTCTTTCAAAACAATATTATTTACATCGATCATGTGCCAGACAATACTCCTGCTTCGCGAGGCTGTTGCAATTTTGCATTGCTTTTGCTTTCTCGGGGCTATTTTTTTAGACATCGCTATTTTTTTTCTTTTTTTCGCGCATTGATTCGGAGTGTGATCGATGTCGTACCATAAGGAAGGAGGAAATAGGAGAATTCATATACTCCTACCTGTTGTACCTTGATACCGCTGAGAAGTATTGAACACTTTAGCGTATTGCCTAACGCATTTTCACCCGTTTGGTCCAAGCGCCGGAACAGATACACACATGGCTTTCGGCGATGATGAAATCTCATCGTCCGGACATCCTGAATTGTTATTTAAACTGCTAGCACTACTGCCTAAAGTACAATTGACCATTGTGAGCTGCGTGCCTTCTAGATCTTGCTCTTCTTCCTCCTCCCGTTGATCATTCGAGGCGGAGCTGCCTCTTCTTTTGTACTGCAATCACGAAAAATGAATTAATTAGTAAGCTATAATGCGTTTCTATTGTCTATAACAAAATATTTTTAAAAGATTTGATAATACCTGAGGATTCTCCATAATATGAACATCCTTCGAGCCTCCATTAACCTCCCACGGCGACAATAAGGGTTCTTTCGCGCAAATTTCGAAAACCCCATTAGACTGTGCGCCCTGTACAATACATATTATTTCTTGTTAAGATTCACATAAGTTCGAATTTCTAACGTTCAATTACCTTTGCGTCTGAGTGTGGATTTGTTTCGATCGGTGATGATGGACATAGCACTGCCAATTCAATCTCATTCGGAGTACCGGTGGTATTCACATGTTGACTCACAGACGTGGAGGATTGCTCCGCGCAACATTCATTTCTGTTTCGCGACAGCACGCACCCGTTCGTAGGTTGAGCGTCGTTTCTCAACCGTGAGTTCTCAAACTTCCTCCGGCAGTATATACTGCATAGGCATATCATGATAAATCCAATGCTTATGCTCACTCCGAGGATCACACCTATATAATAATAAGGGTTATTAACGAATCACATAGTTTCTAAACTGAAGTCTGTCCATTTCTCTCACCTAGACTCTGATCGGGCTTAGAGTTTTTCTCATTGCCCGACGGGGCAGGTACTTTTGATGTTCCACCACCACCACCTCCACCACCACCACCACCACCACCACCATTATTACCGCCATTACTACCATTACGACTAGTACCGCCGGTAAAAACAATAATAGGGTTTGACGGTTTCCCATAGCCAGCATTCGTCGCAGCTTGCACCATAACGAAATATCGTTTCCCTGGTGCTAAGCCTGGTAAATTCGTTGTCCTTTTATTACCGGACACAGTCACATTATTCCACGTCGTCGTCAAATTTATGGTATATGCGACAATATAATTTTGTATAATGCCGTTTATGTTGGTCGGTTCCTCCCATACAATTCGTACTTTCGTATTGTTCTCTAAGAACCATTGTAACCCTTCGACTTTACCAGGAACTGTAACATTTCGTTTATAAAATCCCATATAAAAAGCCGATATATGTATTGTTGTTCTATTAAATAACTCTATTAGAGACTCACCATCTTCGTTTGTATAGCATTCTATAGACTTGCTATAGAAGCTGGTTCGATTTGTATCATGTCTAATGGCTTTTACTTTAAATTCATATAAAGTAAAAGGCTTTAGCTCATCAACGCTTGTTTTTGTGTCGTTTCTATAA